GGGCAGCTCCTGCTCAGCTGGGAACTGGCTGGTATAGGATGGTGTCAGCCTGGAGGGCTCCTCTCAGCTCCATGTGGTCCTTTATTCTCTCAGAGGCTCACCTGAAGTTTTTGTTTTGTTTTGTTTTGTTTTGTTGTTGTTGTTGTTTGTTTTTTGCACATAATGGTCGGGCAGGGATTCAAGAAAGTGAGCCATAATGTGCAAGCTCCTGAGGCTTACTCTCAGAACTGGCTCATGCAACTCTGCCTACATTCTATTGGCCAAAGCAAATCCCAAGGCCAGCCCAGAGTAAGGGGCCTGGAAATAGAGTGTTTCTCTTGGTGGGAGACCCAGTAGAATCACATGCAAAGGGTGTGGATGTGGGGAAGCAAGAATAATTGTTGCCGAAACCGGTTTTGCTCAGTGGATAGAGCATCGGCCTGTGGACTGAAAGGTCCTGGGTTCAATTCCGGTCAAGGCCATGTTCCTTGGTGGCGGGCACATTCCCAGTGGGGGGTGTGCAGAAGGCAGCTGATCGATGTTTCTAACTCTCTATCCCACTCTGTAAAAGGGAATAAAATATATATTTAAAAAAATAATTGTTGCCACTTTTTTATTTATTTTATTTATTTTTTATTTTTTATATTTTATTGATTTTGTACAGAAAGGAAGGGAGAGAGATAGAGAGTTAGAAACATCGATGAGAGAGAAACATCGATCAGCTGCCTCTTGCACAGCCCCACCAGGGATATGCCCGCAACCAAGGTACATGCCCTTGAGAGGAATCGAACTCGGGACCCTTCAGTCCCAAAGCCGATGCTCTATCCATTGAGCCAAACTGGTCTCGGCGCCACTTTTTAAAAAAATATATTTTATTGATTTTTTACAGAGAGGAGGAGAGAGGGATAGAGAGCTAGAAATGTGGATGAGAGAGAAACATCGACCAGCTGCCTCTTGCACACCCACTACTGGGGATATGCCCACAACCAATGTACATGCCCTTGACCGGAATCGAACCCGGGACCTTTCAGTCCGCAAACCGACGCTCTACCACTGAGCCAAACCGGTTTCAGCTGTTGCCACTTTTATAATCAACTACACTGAGGCCCTAGGTTACACTGACACTTTCTGTACAAAAGAAAGTTTTAGTAAATTTGACCCTCAGACTAGGGCTGGTCCTTCGTTTATTTCTTTGATTCTCTGTATATCCCTTGCCTCTCAGTTTTATCTACAGAAAGATGGAGACATAGTGATTTCACTGACTTTCTTCAGCCCTCACTTAGTGTAAGTGTTGAACTTGGCGGTTGCTCTTATGTGGGGTCCCAGTGAGGGGCAGAAACGTGGGCATGGGCAGATCTGGAGGAGCCCATGTGGAATGTCCAAAAGCTGCTTCTTTGACACAGGGCCTTTGGCAGCCAGAAATGAAGGCATCCTCGACAAACAAAGGTATGTACAGTTGAGCTCAAACTTTTTGGAAAGAAGTTTATAAAAGATCGAGCTCGGAAAGGATGGAGTTTTTTCTTCTAGGTTTTTCTAATTTATAACCCACCTACTTCCTTTTTCTTTCATAACTGTGATGTACGTGAGTGGAGTGATCTAAATATCTTCCTAGTTCCAGAGGCTTGACAGTATTTTCACGCCAATCTCCCGCTCAATAAATCAAGCCTTGCAGATCTGTGAACTGCAACATTAATAAAATTCCTCTGGTAGAGAAAGGCCAGTGCTTCTGTGCATCCAGTTCCTGTGAATCTCCGCAATGGTGTTTCTGCTGGAGGTAATGTTGGGGACCAACACCCCACAACTGTCAGTGCAGGTTTATGTGTTGCACCAAAGTGCTGATTCACACGTCTTTACTTGTGAAATTAAACTGGAAATTAGTAGAAGGGAAATTCTTCAGAGGAAAGAAAGCTTGGAGAAGAGAAGATAGTGGTGATGACAAAGATGGTGATAAAGATAATGAGCTAGAGAGAGGGAGAAGGAAGAGGAGGGGAGGGGGGAGTTAAATAGAAGAATACAGAAGAAAGAGAAGGAACATGGAAAAGAGAGAGAGAGAGAGAGAGAGAGAGAGAGAGAGAGAGAGAGAGAGAGAGAGAGAGAGAAGAGAGAGAAGAAGAAGAAGAAGAAGAAGAAGAAGGAGGAGGAGGAGGAGGAGGAGGAGGAGGAGGAGGAGGAGGAGGAGGAGGAGGAGGAGGAGGAGGGGGAGGAGAGAGGATGGGGCAGAGGGAGCCAGAATGAATGAAGGAGAAAGAGAAGGAAGGGCCAGAAGGGCAGGGTAGCACACTCTCTTAAGGGCTGTGCATTCCCAGGGGAATCCAGTGGGAGTCCCAAATTTAGTGACAAAATTGAATGTGACTCAGATGGAAGGAGCCCTGAATTTGTTCTGTCCCCTGGGACTGTGTGACAGTTGCTTCACTTCTTTGTGTATTTGTCTTTTCATCTATAGAAAAAGGTAGGCAATAAGAGGTATGTTTTGTTTGTTTGTTTGTATGTTTTCTGTTTGTTTTGTTTTGTTTTTTGCTCTTTTGGGCTAGGAAAGTCTATTTTGTTTCTTTTTAAAAACATACATTTTATTGGTTTTTTTACAGAGAGGAAGAGAGAGTTAGAAACATCGATGAGAGAGAATCATCAATCAGCTGCCTCTTGCACACCCCCCACTGGGGATGTACCTGCAACCAAGGTACATGCCCTTGACCGGAATCGAACCCGGGACCTTTCAGTCCTCAGACCGACGCTCTACCACTGGGCCAAACCGGTTTTGGCAGGCAAGTCTATTTTCATGTGAAGAAATCTATCCTACAGATCCACAGATGAACAAAACTGCTGTGTTCAGCTTGAAGACAGTTGGGATCATCTTTCTTAGTTGGGATCTCTGGAAACAGACCCTGGAAGGATGTTCATGAGCCAATTATCTCTTTAGGAGGTGCTCCCAGGAAGGCATTAGGAAAGCAGGACTGGGTTGGGGAGAGGCCAAGCAAAGGTGCAGTGTCAGGCAAATTCCCAGCTTCAGCCTGATCCTGTGGATGTTCTGGACTGTTAATTATGTCCCAGTGTTCATGTCCATTGAAGTAAAAGAGCTGGGATTTTATATTCTTGGCTAGAGGCCAGCCAGGGGGACATAATGCTCATCACCTTCCAGCTCTCCTTGCTGGTGAGGAAGCTTCAGGTCCCCAAGGGCAACTCCCTGGAAAAAGTCATAGGGACCACTCCTTAGCAACCAAGTGCTGCTAATGTTGAGGACTGGCACCAGCAACCAGCAGAAGGGATCCTTGGGAATTTGGTCAGGTCATCAGTGAGATCTCTTACACCACCTCCATGAGTCTCCCCCAAAGCTAGGATCCATGTAGTCAGAGATGGTCCTCAGAAAGTGATGCCATCCTAGACCAATGAGTCCCCAGGCAACCCACCAGTTGACCACATGATAAAGCTCAGCCCAAATCAGCAGAATGGGCTAACAGAACTTGGGATGGGCTAACAGAACTGTGGGATAGTAATTATTTAAAAGTGTTGGCATGCTTTGTATATAGCAAAAACTACCAAATACACGAGAAGGAGATCATCTAAATACTCAGTCTAATTGCTATCCTAACCAACATGTATAGGTAGAATCTGAAAATGGCATTGAACTTCATGATACACCAGGAAGTTCTGCCTGGAAGGCAGAACTATGTCTCTCTAGTTATTACTGAATTGATACTAGACAATGACACTTTCTTTCAAATCGTTCTCAGCATTTTGTGCTGCTACTACTGGGTTTTAATCTGCTGCTTTATCATATTCTAGGTTACTGCTACAGTGGAATTTATTTTTGAGAGATAACCCAGTTTCTTTAAAAAAAGAGGGCATAAAATTATGTAAAAAGAAAGGAATAAAATAAAATTACATGACAGCCAAAAAATGAAGGGGAATAAAAGAAGAATGAAGGAGAAATTAATTGAACTGTGTTTTGAATGACTGGCTTGATGACCAGCTTCTCATATAGTGAAGATCCCAGTATAAGAAGGTGAAGTCAGTAGCTTGTACATATTTTGGACATCTCTGACGACTTGACTTAAAATTATTTTGAATTGTCAGAAGAGTCCAAATACAAAAGTTTAGTTTAGTATAACCTTTCTGGAGATTTTGTGGAATGTATGTGTATTAAGAATGTATCCTAATTTGGCTGAAGTGAGGTGCCAAACACTCCACTTGACTTCATTGCTCCCCTGAACCACCACATTTGCATAAAAAATTAACATGAAAAGTGTGATGAGCCTCTAGGCAGATGGAGGCCTTTGACTAATTAGTTGAAACAGTGACAACTTTAGATACATGCTCAGAACAGATTTAGTGCTGACAATGCTCTGTGAATATGGGAACACAGTGTCACTTTCCTGTAAGTTGGAGGGGAGAAGCTACCCGGATCAGAAGTCTGGTGTCTTGGCTTTAGAGGAGAAACAACTGAGAGTCTGGTCAAGGCCCCTTTGTGCTCCACATGTGACAGTCCTATTTGCAGAGCTTCCAGACACCTTCTCAGGTCTCCTCAGCATCCTTCTTTTTCTTCTCCCTGACCCCGAGGACTGAAGAGTTTCTGTCCTGTCAGCCACACACCCTGTGCTTGACTCCTTGCACATACCAGATGCATATCTGGTTCTTCTTGCATCTGGACTACTCATATCTTGGTGTGTAAAAGAATCACCTGAAGGACTTTCTAAACCCAGAAACTGGGGTCATACTTCCATATGTTTGGGTTCAGAACATCTGGGGTGGAGCCCAAAGTTTTGCATTTCTAACTGCCAGGTGATGTTGATGTCACTGCCAGGTGATGTTGATATCACTGGTTCAGAGACCTCACTTGGAAGTAGCTCTGCTTTAAGGAAGTGATACACTGATCTAAGCACAGTGTTTCAAGCTAGCTACCTACGCATCAATTTTAGTCTACAAATAAGTTTTATTTTTCTTGGTAATACTCTACAGGGAAAATTACCCCCAAATACCTAGTTGTGTTGTCTTTTTTTTTTTTTTTTTTTTTTTTTTTTTTTACAGAAACACAAACTGGTTTAATATCTAGACAGCTGATATTAAATATAATGGAATTTTTCTGCCAAAGTATAGTTTATCAATTTGATCCATCAACTTCTGATGCTTAAAAAATTCACTGGAATAATATTCAACAATTAAATGTTAGTTCATGTCTTTTATTAACCCAAATATAATTACTTGTATTATATTTTGTTAAAGCAGTAGGTCAGACAACATAGCCATGATAATGTCTGTCCAGTGGCTGGCCATAAAAACTCCAGCATCACATTCATCTGAAGGGCACTCCCAACAAAGGCGACTGATTTTGACATTCTAATCCATATTGTAGTATTTCAGGACAGCCAGCTTAACTTTCTTTCTTTTATATTTGTTTTTCTTAGGAATGGAGTAAGACTTCTCCCTTGGGTATAGAGTAAGACTTCTCCCTTTTCTTAGCCATGAAGTCTCAACACAAGATGAAGAGTAGACTCCTTTTGAATGTTGTAGTCAGACAAAGTATGCCCATTTTCCAGGTGCTTGCCAGCAAAGATCAGTCTTTGCTGATCAGCAGGAATTCCTTCCTTATCCTGGCTCTTGGCCTTTATGTTTTCTAACATATCCGAAGGTTCAGCCTGTAAAGGTTTTCACAAAAATCCGCATGTTAGTGGCAACTCCACTGCAGATGGGAGATCAGAAAAAAAAAAAAAAAAAGATCTCTTTTGTCTTCTTTTATAAATAAAAACATCTGTCATTGTCAATGATGCCAATTGCCTTGACATTAGTACCAGAATCCCCATTTAGAGGGGAAACGTATTCTTGGATTTGCCACAGTCCCCGCCAACCCCTCTCACACCCCAGGATCACTTCCATTGTTTTCTTTATATATTGTTTCTGTTTTCCCCTAAGTTTGTGTACCCTAATTTAAGTTTGCATAATATTAACCTTCACAGGCAACACCTTTGCATTTTTACAAGGGCTTGCAGGGAATGATGCCTTAATACAAAGATGTAATGCCAATAGTGGAAATCTCAGGCTGCAGTGGTCAGCTGCTGTAGAGAATGTGGGTTTTCTCCAGGGACCTCACAGAATGGTCACCTGCCATGTCTCCATAAGAAGATTAAACTGGTTTCCCAAAAGTTGACATGTAATAGTGTGGAGAGAGATGCCCTTTTTGGAAGGAAGAGCCTTTATAAAACCAGGGTGTGTTCTTTTTACACAATGAATCTAGGTTAATAGAGACCCTTAGAGATTCAAAACATTTACTAGATTCTGTATATGGAAACTCCATTCTCTCCTTCCATTTCTCTTTCCTCAATTCTTTGAAAGGTGCCATGTATAGTTGACTATGGTTTCTGGAGTATTGCCTGGGTTCAAATTCTGGCCTGTAAATTTACTTTCTATATATTTATTTTTGGTTAAATTACTGAGCTTTTGAGTTCTTTGGCTTCCCCATGCATAAATCTCACCAACCTCATGGGGTTATATGTGATGATTAAATGAGATAAGGCATGTAAATGTGATGCCTAGTGAAAATTTGATAAATGTCAATACTGTCTGCTTCCAATTATAGAAAGTACAGTGGCAGAGGGATGAAGCCAATGTAAGCTCAAATTCCTATCCTACCACATATTGGTCATGTGACTTTGAGAAATGTTTTTTCTTTCTTTTATTCATTCCTTCTATGGATATTTTTTTTTTCAATCTGTATTTCCTCATTGGTAAAATGAAGATGACAGTGTCTATTTTATAGAGTACTTGTAAAAATTAAATAAGATAATCCATATAAAATAGTGCCTGATGTGAAAAGTACTTAGTAATTTTAGGTTGGTTGACATGAAATTGCTAGTTTTGTAAGTAAAAAATGGCTGAATTAACGGTTTTCTTCAGTTTGAAGTATTATTGATTTCAATATGATTGTTTCTATTTTATCCCTATTATCTCATTAAGGGATGAATAAGTTAGCTATTGCTGTGGAAAAAAAAATCTCAAATCTCAGAGGGGAAAAACAATGAACCCTATTATTTATTATGAGTCTATGGATCAGCTAGGTGGTTCTGCTGTTCAGGCTAATCTTGGCTCGGCTTGCTCATGAGTCTTTAATCATGTTATAGAACAGATGGGGGCTGGCTGGTCTTGCATGGCCTCACTCACTTATGTGGGGCAATGGAGTGACTGGGCCATGTGTGTCACCTTCCAGCCAGCTAGCATAGGCTTACTCATAAGGTGTTGGCCAAATTCCAGTAGGAATGCTCAGGCTTGGTACAAGCAAGGTAACACGTCTGCTGAAGTCTGAGCCAAAACAAGTCACATGGCCAAACCCAGATTCAAGAGTTGAGGAACTAGACTCCACTCTTTGTGGGAGGGGCTGAAAAGTCACATTTCCAAGAACAGACATACACGGAAGGGAGGTGAATTCAGGCTGTGTGTGTTTGTTTGTTGTTGTTTTCTTTTTAGTCAATCTAAGACAGGAGGTGTAAATAATACTTGTGTTCCTTTGCATCATCATTTCTATCACTTCTTTAACTTAAAGAATTGTTTTTGAGAAGCACTAAAAATATCCAGCCTTGGGTTGTTAGGTATTTTTTTATAATAGGAAGATATATTTTTATCTTCCTGTCCTTTGGCTCTTTTGCAGTTTTAGGAGCTCTGGCTGGGACATGCGTGGGCAGTCGTCTTTAGCACCTTGAAGGCTCCATCTCTGTCCAGTAAAATACAAGAAGCAGAATTGCTTCTATAAAAAAATAGAGTAACTATAACAACTTGGTTGGTTTAACTCAGGGGCCAGTTGCTGATGAAAAAACACAGCTGCTCTTGATATTCTTTGTATCCTGCACCTCTAATCACCAGCAAGCACTGTAAAGAAGACACTGCTAAATATAGTCATATCATAAAGAGGAGGAAAAGAAATATGGTTTCTCCAACTTTTAAGACCTCCGGCAGAATGGAGCTTATGAAGACTTTACAGAGATTTTAGGGACTGAAATCGTGAAAGCTAAAATTGTTCTGTGATTCTGTACATGCATTAAACCGTTTCTCTCTCAACATGGTGATGAAGGTACTAATACTATAAGAAAATTAAGATTTAAAAAATGAAGGCACAGAGAAGTTAGAAACTTGCTCAAAGTCACACAGCTAAGAAGTATGAGTCGGGATTTGAACTAAGGAGCACAAGTTTGGGAGTGATACACTTAACCATTACTAAATTTGCAACAATGTAAATGATTGTCTTCTTTCTACCCAAATGATATTAAATTCTCTTCAATTCTACTGAAGATTCAGAAACCATGACTGAGACTCCATAGAGGCAGATTACAGCTCAGTATAAAAACAAAAACATATTTCAACTTTTAAGAGTTGCCCAACAATTAAATGCATTCTGAGGTAGGGGCTCCCAGATATAAACTGAACATCACTGACACAAGAACTCAGGTCTCAGAGACTGGGTTCAAATCCTGGCCCTTCAGCTTTTACTGTGTGCAAGTGTGTAGGCACCTAAGTTATCTTTAGCCTCAGTTTCATCATTTTAGAAAGAAAACAAAACAAAATAACAAAAAAAGAAACAACTGTAAGTAACTCCATAACTTGTTGTGAGAATAAAGTAATACATTTAAAGTTCATGATTCATTATCTAACACCATCGTGGATTCATTTCCCTTCAGCCACCATCATAGAAGTTGCCCAATAGAGCTTACAAAACATTTTACACGAATAGGAGTGGTGGACCAAGGGATACCGTGTCAAAAATGGGTTAGTTTAGCTACTTGGTACTAAAAACATCACCGGATAGCTTGTTACATATGCAAATTAATGGGCTCTAACTTTGACCTACTGAATCCTGTCATCTTGGGTGGAGCCCAGCAATCTGTGTTCAGATGATATTCATACCTAATAAACTTAGCAATACACTGGCCTTGGTGACCTCCGGGGATGCTTCCATCTTTAATTGTATGGTTTCTGCTAATTGTCCCTCAGCAGTACCCATCTAGTAATTGCTACCATTTGTTGAATACTTCTGCTCAAACACGTGAGTAAATACTTTGCATGCATTCATTTAATCTTGCATGGAGTTGATACTATCTCATCCACACTGTACAGATCAGGAAATAGCAGTTAAGGAAGATAGACTAGGATTTTGACCTGAGTAAGTTTGGAGCTCTAGCTACCAAGCAATCTGCTAAATTAATCATAATTCTCCTAACTCAAAGAAGGACCTACAGGGGAGCAATTTGTCTTCAAATCTATTCATCTGATAATGGAATGAGTTAAAGAAATTAAGCTAATGATCTCAGACAAGTCATAGAGAAGGTCTGTGTGGAAGGTCACTGGCTGATAACCTGAGTCCTCTCAAGACTTGATGACGCTAGGAGGTCACAGGGCTGCAGAGAAGGGGGCCTGGCGGCTCCTCCCAGGAGAATGCTCAGGGAGGAGTGACCTGGTGGGTGGAAATGCTGCCTTAAGTGCCCTGCAATTGAGAAACACAGCTGTGGGTAATTATTTTTTTCCTAGCTATAAATAAAAATCCTAAGAAGAACAAAGGAGAAAAATATAGTTGGGAGAGCTTCACTCCTGTTCTTTCCCCACCCCCATCAGCTGCTCCTGATGACAAAGCAAGGAGTTGGTTTAAACCACCCTCTACTTACTGCCTTTTCTGCTGATGACATCTCTATAAGGAACAGATCTTCCAGCACAATGTATGGTTAGCTGAGCCCGCAGAAGAGGCGACAAATCTTCCTGCCCTATGGTCCTGATGTAGAAGAAACCAGCAGCATAGATGCAGATAGTTGGTTGTGTGGTGGGAGAGAGACCTTGTGTCCCATCATGTTGGGGTCCTTACTTCCCCTTTGTGTTTGCTGTAGCCACACGGATGTACGTGCCTGGCACTGGCTTCATGCCTAGGCTTTGCTCTATGCAAGTGGGGCCTCACATTACAGACGTAGCTCATTTATTGCACTTTACTTAATTGCACTTCTTAGATGTGGGGTTGTTTACAGACTGAAGGCAAGACCCTCCACCAGCAAAAACAATTACCACTTGCTATACTAGGACACTTCTTTATTGCAATGCTCTGGAACTGAACCTGCAGTACATCTGAGGTATGCCTGTATAGACAATAGTCAGGATTTTAGACAATCTGAGAAGGATGTCCATTGGGCCCAACTCAAACCATCTCCAGCACCAGAATTCCACAAGAACACCTTTAATCCTTTGGCAAAGTATTCTTGGTTATGTAAAATGGCAGTACTCCTGAAGATGGAAACACACCAAGACAACTCTCTAAGTTGAGCCTTCATGGTCACAAGTTACTTTCAACAAAAGTGATTTTGATGGCTTCGAGGAGGGAAAATACAAAAATTGTAAGTTTTTGCTATTCAATGTGTGGTTGTAAGTCAGCAGTAGTGAGTCTCCTGGACATCTGTTAGAAATGCAAAGTCTTGGGCATGTCTGAGACCTACTAAATCAGAATGTTAATTTTGAAATATCCCCAGGTGATTTGTATGCATATTAAATTTTTTGAAGCATTGATCTAAATGCCCAAGATTGAAATGCATAGCAGCCATAGAGGAAGGGAAAAGGGCCAAAGGGAGAGATAGCTTAGTGGTGAACACACATAATCTGGAAATGTAGGCAAAATCTTTAACATTTTTGCAGAGCAGAAAACA